ATGTAATTATTTCTATATGTATATTTAAATGGCAACAGGATCCGCTGCTCCATTGATTAGGAACAAGGATAGACTCGCACTCTCTATGGCGTCTCTCTCCAGGGAGGCTTCTCCTCTTTGCGTATGTAATTTCCTTTTTCCTTGTCTCAACCCCTAAGAGTGAGGATTTCTGTCGGTTTTACAGAGGAGAGCGTGTCGACTCAGGGAGGTCAGGCGACTTGCTCAATAATGGGCCCGTTCACTCCAATACAAGTGTCCTGGCACGTGCTAACCGCACGGCTAGAAAGCGCGGAGCTGTAACCCTGCCCTGCTTATTGGGTTTCCCGTTTGTCTTATTCACCTAACACACTTAGAGGTCCTTAAAAATATCTCTAATTATGGAAAAATTTAACCCTATAGAAAAGTAGACAGAATAATGACCCCTTAGAGGCCCTTTTAATTCAACCCAGAACTGGTTGCATTTACAGCTGCCAAAGGTTGAGGGCACTGAATGGAAGGGAAGCATGAACTTGCTGGCTGCCTTTTCTTTCTTAAAACAAAAAAGATATTCAGGGCAAATTTTAGAATCATTGACGGTTTCTAGGAAGATTTTCTTTTTTGGAAGCGAAAAGGTACTCTTGTCTCCTTAATTGTTCTTAGCGTTCTTTGTCACCAATCATGATATTCTTTGTGGAAAGTATTAATATACCATCTTCCTGTGTTCAATATTCCCATTAACAATAAAATGTCTAATGAAAATGTCTGCATGAAAAGCCCTGAGCACTAATTTCAGAGACAAATAAAAGATGAACCAATAAGTGTTTCTTCTGAAATGAATGATGCAAATTAATTGATATCTTAATAAGCCTTCAGCATAAAGATTATTAGTTAGATTGAATCGGAACTGAAAAATATCTTGAAGGAAAAGCTGAGGACATCGGTGGGGCAGAAAGATGTTATCTCTCAATGTTCTGCTAGAAATCTCTTTTTCTCGATGAGAAAGTTTCAAAGAGGGGACCAAGAAGGACAGCATGCTTTATGTATGAGTCCCTGCCTGCTCTAGTCTGGCCCGGTTTGGGGACTGAAGCCTAGTTCTGTTCCTGAGCTAATGGGAACCCACAGGTATAGGAAGTTCTACCCCTAGGAAGTCCCTGGGGCCCTCATAATACCACCACTGTGCTGCAGACTCCTTCCTTGGTCTCTCTAGAATAGAAGCCCCGTGCAGGCAGAACCTTCCTCTATTTCATTGGCATTTGTAACTCCAGTGTAGCCAGATACTCGACTTACAGTGATAATAATAACTTAATAGCAAGCAATTATATAGGGCTTGCTATGTGTTCTGGGTATCGTTCTGAGCACTTTACTTAAAATAACTCAGGTAAGCTTCATAATAGCCATGTGAGGTAGGGACTATTAGTAGCTCCACTTTACAAGTGAGTATATTGAGACACAGCGAGGTTGAGCAACTAGCCCAAGATCACACAGCTATTAATGGTGAATTAGGGATTTGAACCACAGCAGTCTGGCTACACAGACCTTGCTCTTTTTTTTTTTTTTTTTTAATAGTGTCTTGCTATATCACCCTGGCTGGTCTCAAACTCCTGGGCTCAAGCGATTCTCCTGCCTCAGCCTCTCAAGTAGCTGGGACTACAGGTGTGCACTACAATGCCTGGTTAATTTTTGTATTTTTTAGTAGAGACAGGGTCTTGCTCTTGCTCAGGCTGGTCTCCAACTCCTGAGCTCAAGCAATCCTTCTGCCTCAGCCTCCCAGAGTGCTAGGATTACAGGTGTGAGCCACCGTGCCTGGCTAACTCCTACTTTATATTTAAGTTGTCTACAGGTCTAGAGCTTTATCCTACTTTATGCCAGACACTGCCAGCCTCTCTTTGGGGAAGGGGATGGAGAGGCTACAGATGTTTCCTGTATTCCTAAGAACTGGTTGCTGTCCTGTTTCAACCTGGACAGCCTGTCAAAAAATTATCCCCCGTGAGAGGTTCTGCTGGCCATGGCCTGGTCCACCATCCAGTCAGACCTGCAGCCCTGATGGCAAGGGCAGCCTAGGTTCCACCAAGTTTGCTTCTGTGGTCATGTGAATCACGGGGCCAATGGCGCGCTACATCTGCAGTGACTTTATGGGATGCTTTGTTGCTGAGCCGCTTGGATAATGATGGTATGTAGGCTGTAGTTTTATGAGGTTCAAAAACACTTACCAGGTGTGTTTTATTTGGCAAGACAGTGTTCCCTGAGGAGGGTTCCCTGGAAGCATCTACCTATAAACGGTTGTCAGAAATAGAGCCCTGGGAGTAAGCTGGGGGGTGGTGGGGGAACCACAGAGATGATGTTTCCCACCTTACAGAGGGGGCGTGGTGGCTCCTTGTCACAGTGGAGTGGATGGGAGAGATGGGAGAGATCGCAGGGCACGGCAGGAAGGGCGTGTGGTTCGGAGCTGGGGGAGTGGATTGAAGATTCACCTCTATACCCCGCCAGCCGAGAGGCTGCATCATTCAACCTCTCTCGGTTGCCTTCCTCGTCTATGAAATGGGGATAACGCCTAGTTCACAAAGCGACTGCCAGCTTCAAAAGTTTCCAAAGTGCTTTTCACTCAAAAATCGTTCCACAAAGGAGTGATGTGAACAATGACCAAGGCCTGCCAACACTGGACTCTGGGTCTTCCTTCAAGCTGCTGACTCCTGGGTGCTTGCTAAATGTGGACGGTTCTCTCGAGACCAACTGAAATGCAAGTTCAGCGGGCACGGTGGGGCCCAGGAATCTCCATTTTAACAAGCTCGCCTACTCATCTGAATGCCCTCTACTGTCCGAGACCCACTCAGTAACCGCAAACAGCAACACAAAGGAAGTGCCCTGGGTTTGATTCGAGCCCTCTCTTCCTTTGGTCGAGGTCCAGAATCTGAGATCTGAATGAATTGGGTTGACACGGTCTTGTGGCTGGCGGAATTTGGAGGCAGGTGGGCAGGGCCAGTGGCTGTAGCTGCCACTTCCTGCCGGACACTCAGATGAGGGGAAGGGGGTGAAAATGCGACTGAAGCCCAAGCCTCCTCCGGCCTGAGCGGGAAGGCCGAGGGCCGCACCCGGGCAGGTGGCCCTTGTAAGCTCCGTGGCTTAGCAGCCTTGCCTGACAGCTGCCACCTGCCACCTGCTCCGCTTCTAAGCTGGGCTGCTGAGGCCAAACCCATGTCTGCAGCACAGAGCTCATGTGAAAAGGTCCCTCCTAAGTGAGTATGGGGGTGAGGGGGTGGGGAGTGAGGGGCCTTCAGGCTTGGCAGAGAGAAGCCTCACGGTCCCAAGACCCCTCGACTCTGAAATCATCCCATCCATAACTGCTCTTGCACTCTGGCCTCTGAAACGTCCAGTAGAGCCCTGTCGCAGGGAGCCCTGGGTGTGTGGGGCGGACTGGGATTATGACCTTCAGAGCAACACTCCTCTCTTGAGCATTTCACCCCCTGTGACTTCTAGGGAGGGCCAAGCCCAGAAAATGGCAATGCCCTAGACTAGGGGGAGATGCTGTATCTTCCCCTGTTACACCCTCTGTTCCCCTCCCTTCCCCTTTGCATGTTTGTGGTGTTTCCAGAGCTCTTCGCCCGGCTGGGTGCTCAGTGGGGAGGCGCGTGCAGTAAGGAGACCAGCTCCGGCACTGCCCAAGAAGCTGCTGCTCGAGTCTCCCCTGGGGAAGGCCCTTCCAGGGCCATAGCCACTACAGAGGGCTAAGGAGGGCTGTGCACCTGAGCTTGCTGGGAAGGGCCCGGGTCATGCGGCCATGGGATTGTTGCCAGGGTAACTCCCCTTACCCCACTCATGGCTGTGAGAGTCCCTGCCCTGTGCAGGAGAGTCAATAGCCAGTTCAGACTGGCACCCCTTCCTCTGCCCATAGCTCTAAAGGAAAAACATAAACTCCTTATGTTTGTGGAATTCTGTTTTCAAAGTGCTCTCAATGTGTTATCTCATTGACTCATCACAACAACCACACAAAGTCAGTAGCACGGTTCCCATATTATGGATACAGACGAAGTCCCAGAGAGGTTCCTGGTGACCTGCCAGAGGTCATTGAGTTCATAACCAGCCAAGATCCAAACCAGACCCAAACTTAGCTTTTCTAGTTCTGGGTTCCCACCGTCTTGCAGGGTTGATGCCTTTCCATGGTCTTTGCAAAGGCCATCTGCGGGTTTTCTAGGCATAGATTTGTGAATATTTGGGGCTAGCATGGACTTCCCCAAAGTGCACTGCCAGGCGCTCATGAACAAAAGATTCAATAAGCAAGTGAGACTGGGAAATAAATGCATATTATATAGGGCATGTTAGGATAGTAAAAGCTCCAAAAAGCACTTCAGTGAGAAATTGGATCAACTCAGTTCAACCCAGAGTATCCAAAACTTGTCTGGCAATAGAGCATTCTCTTTTTCCCCGACATAACACCCACCAACAGTCCACCAAATTCGCTGAACCTACTCTGCAAAGGCTGAGCCAGGCTCCTTCGCAACTGTCTTTGTGACAACAAAGACACAAAGATGAGGGGCAGTCACTTGTTCCTGTACAAAGAAAAGGAAATCGCCACAACTCTTCCCTGCCCCTGGCCCCATCAGGATGGGACCACACAGATTCACTTCAGTGCCCCCAAATCCAGCAACATGCTACAGTCAATCGTTAAACTTTCAGAAACTGTGTGAGTCAGTTATTACATCACTGGGAGCATCAAATAGACCACGGTGGGAGAATTTATTTCTATCATAAAAATCAGCAAACATTAGAAATCAGGTCTTTCCCTCCTGTTCCCTTGTCTGGAGAGCTGGTTTGCCAGGGTAGCTCTAGCCCTGGGACATTTTTTGAAATTGTTAGGAAACTTGGGAGCGCTGTGACATCTTAGTGCTGAGGGCAATGTGCCACAGAAGTCCTCGCTAATCCTAGTGTTTGTCTCCAACCCTCCTGAATGAGAGCCGAGAACTGCATGGAATGATAACCTTCCAGCCATCCCATAAGAGTAAGAAAGTGCCTCGTGGCCTGCTTACCTTGATATCTGTTACCAGCCAATGTCTCCAGTATTTCATTCTGGGTTCCGACCTGCTAGGGGCATCTGGGTCCACCATGACCAGGATATAGCTTGCGCCCTGTAACACACATCAAACAGTAATGTAGCATCCTGGCTAGAAGTTTGGTAGGGCAATGGCAAGGGGACAGACTCTCCTTTTACCACCATCCCAACCAAGAAAGTCTGACCAGCCACTGGGGCTCCTACCCAGTTTTTTGTTTTCATTCCTCTTGTGTCACACGTTCATTCAGAGAAATGAAGTCTGTGAAGTAGACAGCAGGATTTTTGGCTTTCCCTTTGTGAGGAAGAATAAATCCAACAGGCATATTTACTAAGCACCTGGGAGTCCCTGGCACCATGCTAGGTGATGTGGAGGAGATAAAGAAACCTGAAACAGGGCTTCTGCCCTCACGAAGCTTCCAGTGTAGTTGGACTGGCTTATCTGTTAATTCAGCAAACATGTGAGAACTCAATCTGTGTCAGGAACGATATCAACTGCAAGGAACACTAGGATTCATTCATGCCTTCAACAAGCCGTTTACTGAACACCTACTATTGCCAGCAGCTGTTCTAGGTGCTAGGAAGCCAACAGAGCACAAGACAGTGAGAACCGTAGTTTCAGGAAGCTTTTACTCTAGGTAAGAGACACAGATGATAAAAATAAATAAATAAGCAAGGAAACGTCAAGTTATGATTAGTGCTATGACAAAAATAAAACGGGTTGGGATGAGAAGTGGTAAGCATCCCAGGAAGAGGAAGCAGCTGCTACAACGGCCTTCAGATGGGCAAGAGGTAGGCTTTGAGGAACAGAAAGAGCACCACTGTGGCCAGGGACACGCAAGGGGGCGAGTGGAAGGGGCGGGTGGGAGAGGTGGCCAGGGCCAGGCCACAGAAGGCTTCCTAGGCCTGGGTGAGGAGTAGGAATTGATTCAAAGTGCAACACGAAACCACTGCAGGATTTTAAGCAGGTCAGTGATATGCTCTGATTTACCTTTTTAGGAGATTGTTTGGGCTGCTGGGTAGAAAATGAATGCTTGGCAGAAGGCCAGAGAGGAAGCCAGGAGGCCAGTTAAGAGACCCTTGCAAGTAGTACAGTGAGGGACGGTGGTATCTTGGACCAGGATGGTAGCAATGGAGACAGAAACAAATAGATGGATTAGGGAAGTATTTTTAGATAGAATCAGTGGAGTTTGCTGATGGATTGGATAGTAGGGCGGTGAGAAGGGGATGGAGAAAGAGAAATTGAGATGACTCCTGGGTTTTTGGCTTGAGCACCTGGGCCAGTTCATGGGACAGAGAAGACTTGCAGAGGAGGATGTTGGAAGGGGCACATTGAGAGTTCTAGAGAGTTTTAGACACATTGAGTTTGAAATGCCTCTCAGGAGATAATTTAGTATGCATGTCAGAGTCTGCAGTTTGAGGGAGAGATCAGGACTGGATGTACAGATTTGGGAGTCACTGACATATAGATGATCTTTAAATCTGTAAAGCAGACACAAAGAAGAAAAGAAGTCTCATGACTGAACTCTAGAACATGGTAACATGGAGAAGAGGGGAGTCTGGGAAAGGGCATGTGGAGGCCAAAAGGTGAGGGGAACACCTGCAGAGCAGGTGGCATGAAAGCCAAGCCAGAAAGTGTCTCAAGGAGGAGAAAGTGGCCAGCTGTGTTGAATGCTGCTGAAAGGCAGGGCCAGATGAGGACACAGATGTGGCAACTTGGAGATCACCCTTATCTGGACAAGGCCTGTTTCAGTGGAGTAGAAAGGACTGAGGTTTGATGGGAGTAAGTCGAGCTGAGATAGGAGGCGAGCAGTTGGAGATGGCTACAAAAGGTGATAATAAGAAGGGAAGTTTTGGTGTGGACAGCTGAGGCAGAGTGGCCATTACTAGAGAGAAGGAAAAGCCAAGAGATCTTTTTAAGAGACGGACGATAGTCAGGCATCTCTGCACATCAATGGAAATGATCTAGGAGAAAGGGAGGGACGTGGCAGAGAAGAGAAAGAGAGTCATTGCAAGAGCCAGCTCTGGAAGGCGGGAGGGGACAGGACCCAGAGCGGAAGTGAGGGCTGGGTCTTGGGTAGGAGCAGAGGATATGGGTTCAGATGCAAGAGTATTGGAAGATGTGCTGTTGAGAAAGGAGGAAGGCGACTTCTGACTGCTTCTATTTTCCAATGAAGCAGAGGCAAGGTCATGGAGGAAGAGGGATTATAGGAAGTTTGGGAACTGAGAAGAAGGTGTGAAACAGTCATGCAAGAAAGTGAGAACATGAGTGTGCTATAGGTATAGGGTAAGGTTACTAGGCGATATTACGTTCCTTGTGTGCTATTTAGCTGTTCAAGGGCAGATGTGCAATAAGTGGTGGGTGTGATTAACTTGGGTGGGGGTTAGACCGGTGAGCGTGAGGGAAGAGGGGGGAGTGAGAGAGAAAGAAGAGGAATAAAGTCCTGGCCTCCTCTCAACAGGGAGAGATGGGAACACTCAATGGCTATAGGATGTTCTAAGTGCTTGAATAGAGGAGCATCTACCCAGTACTGAGGGAACAGGCAGGAGGGAGTCTAAATCTCTCTGTCTCAGGAAGGCTTCAGAGTTATCTTTTGAGCTTGATCTCCAAGGCTGAGCAGGTAAAGGACCAGGAAAAGGCCACTCTGGGCAACAGGAATGGCTTGTGCAAAGGCATGGGGGTGTTTGGGGAATGGCTGGGCCATGGGGCATCTGGGAAGGGGTGGTAGGTGGCAAAGCTGAAAAGGTTTTCGGGACCAGATAACAGAAAGCCTTGCATGTCATAAGTGTTTAGAATTTGTTTTGCAACAGGACCCACTAAAATGGTTTGAACAGAAAACTGACATCATCACCTGTGTGCTTTGGGAAGGCATGTGGTGAGGATGGAGTAAAAGATGAAAATCAGAGAGAAAAAAAGACAACCCCAAACCCTGATAACGTGATACTCTGAAGAATCACCAGGCCTTCAATTCCAAGAGCAGTTACAGAGCTGGAGAGAAAGGAGAGAACCCACAGCCCGAGGTGACTGCCCAGGGCAGGTGTGGGAGAGGAAGATGCCCAGGCTGACTCTGATCTGAGATTCCATCTTGGGCAGCTCGGAGGCTGACGGTGTCGTGCCTATTAGGAATAGCAAAGTCAGGAGACGGTGAGACAGAGAGTTTGGTGTTGAAACATATAGGCAGAGGCACCTTTCAATGAGGTTGGAGCTCTCTCAAGACTCGGCCAGTGGACATGGGAAGGGATGAGACTGTCGGGGAACTTGTAGAGTGACAACAGAAAAACAACTATGGTAGAACTTGGGAACTCAAGAGTGGGAGGGAGGACGAGACTGAGGAGAAGAGAGTTAGGAAGACAGCCAGGCAACCTTGGCGTCACGGACACAAGAAGGGGTGGAGGTGTTGTCAATGTCACAGCCATCAAGGGAGATGAGGACCACAAAGAGACCATTGGTTGTGAAAATGGGGATCACCCGTAACTTTCCCAAAGTGAGTAGTTTAAAGATATAAATACTGATTGTTGCATTTCAAGATCCAAAAGAAGCAATGAACCACATATTAGATGTTATAAGAAATTTAATCTGAGAATGTGAAGATAAGCCCAAGAAAATCTCCAAGGACTGAGAAGGAAAGGATAAAGAGATGAAAACATTAGGGGAAAAGAAGGAACATATGTGAGAGAGAGAGAGAAAAAGAGAGAGAGAGAGAGAGAGAGATCCCTATAGAATCCCCGGAGAAAAATGTATATAGTATTTGATACATACAAGTATTGGTTCTAACTAAAGTAATAGGAAATAAAAAGAAACCAAATGTAAATACAGTAAAAGAAGAAATAAAACCGTCTACCCTCTTTCTTTTCCTTTTCTTGCAAATAACACGATCATCTACATGAGAATCCAAAAAAGAATCAACTGGAAACAAATAGACTAATATTCAGTAACGTAAGCAGTTACAAATTGTACACAAAACCAGTCCTTTCCTACATACTAATAGTAGTCATAAAGTATACTTTTAAGATCCCATTCACAATTGTAACAAAAAATCTAAAATATCCAAGAATAAGCTTGGAATGAAATGCAAGATTATAAAAAGAAAACAAAAACATTATTGATGTATATAAGAAGGAAACCTGAATAGACGGAGACATACAATGCTTTTAAATAAAAAACTTATTTTGCAAAGATGTCAATTAACCTTCAAATAATCTGTTAATCTGGCATAATTCCAAGTAAAATCCTAAATAAATGTTTTGGAAACTTCACGGCATTGTTCTAAAGCTCAATAAATGCAAAAATAGGTAAATAAAAGAAAAAGATGTAGCCAAGGCAATATGGGTAAAGATAAAATAGGTATGGAATTGATTTTGTAGATATTAAAATATATTATAAAGCCACAATACTAGAACAATATGGAGTTGATTTAGGAATAAATAGGAAGAAAAATAGAAAAGCCAGAGAGAAACTCAACTTTTCAATATATGTATATT